AACCAAATGAGAAAATTCAATGTAATGGAACAACAAAGAGCAAAGGTGCGCTGGATTGACACGGAGACGCAGCGTTCACCCCACGATGCACACGTGAAGCCTCGCTGCACATCGCAGCGCACAGCAACTCGCTGCGATGGCCCACACGACCACTCCCCTTACGCCACAACCGTCACACGCGATCACTCGCTGTGATGCGTCTTGTCGCAAGCGACCACTTGTCGTGCCGCAACGAGCGATGCGATTTCCCTTGGCGCCCTTTGGTGGGTCGTGACATGCAGCCGATTATCCACGCCCTGCTGCGTGACGTTTGCCCGTGTGTGAACCTCTTTAACGTGTAACGTCTTCTTTCCCTCCCGCCCACTACCGCCCCCCGACGCGTGCAGGAGCGGCGCCGCAAAGCTGAGAAGGTGGCGCGGGTACGGGGGTTGGAGGCGCAGCAGCTGCGCAGGGTGCGCAAGGAGGTGCACGCCCGGCAAGCGGAGCTGGCCCGGCGTAAGCTGCACCGCCAGGAGAAGCGGTTGCGGAACATCAACAAGCCCAAGAGGCTGGGACGTCTCAAGTGAGCAAAAATAAAGATCCTCCCCCACTCCCCCCTGTAGCCTTAACAGACTGTTGAGGCAAGTGCTGTTCACGAGCAGCGCCTGTGAAGGCCGGCATGGCTACGCATGGGGGTGGGTGGCCAGCACCATGCCCGGCACAGAGACGTGCACACACACACACACGTCAGGGACATGGGTGCGATTCTCCATGCGGCATGACTAACAGCATTCCTATGCTCTTTTAAAGTACTCTATTAACCAGAAGGAAGCTTCTGCTCTTTTCAGTATACACTGTTTGATGCGATGAGTTTCATGGCAGGACGCTAAGCGGATGTGTGTGCACTTGTGCTGCAGATATGCGGAACCCGATGTGGACTTGAAACTGAGCGACGAACTCGTTGGCACGCTGCGTGAGCTCAAGGTAACGCGGTTATACGCGCACTGCATGCTTAAGCATGTACTGTATATACATGTGCAAACTCGGATGCGTGTATTCGCATGCTTGTGTGAACGTCTGCGCATGCTCTTGCACAAGCTGTGTGTATGATCGTGCGTGTGTATGCTTGCCAATGCGTGCCTGCTTATTACGTGTATGTATGTATGCATAAGTGTTGTTCCTCCACTTGAATGGGTATCCTCAACATGTTTTAATGGAATTGGCTGGTCAAAGTCATTGAGGCTTTCCTGGATGTAAAGGGCACTGGGCCAGCTCGCACACAAACATACGGAAGCATGCGTGTTTGTATGCTTAAATTTTAGTAGACGTGTTTGCATGATTACGTGTGTAGGCCCTCCCATGTGATTACGCATGTTTGCTTTGTGTGTGTGCGCGTGTGCCTGTTATATTGTACGTGTGCTTGTTACCACATTTTGCATTGTCCATGTAGGCATTAATGCACTGGGAGAACATGATACAAACGGCAGTAATGTTCATTCATTGTTTGTCTACCCTCGTCACAATTTTTATTCTTGCATTGAAACAAATAGCTTTCTCTTCTGGACAGTTATCGAATTGATCATTTGTGATACGAATCTGGCTCGCCATTGGCTTGCAGTTGGATATAACTTCGCAAGGTTTTACGTTTTCCCAGCAGACATTACCAGACAACAGAACCAATCTACTCCGTGTAAACTGGCTTCGGACACCTTTAGACCTTGTTGTCCTGCCTTAACCAGCCATGGGGTGGTCACTCAGCACTCACCCTTAGAGGCCACTCGCTAGTGGTGGAAACTCCACAATCCCAAAATGGTGGTGAATCGTGAAGTGCTACTCGATTCATATCATATCCCTCGAGGGGTGATTAGTCCGAGTTTACCCTTGACCAGGATTTGAACTTGGAAATCATCCACTTGGAAGACCGAGCACTCTATAACCACAATCCCACCAAGGCTGGTGGTTTGCTTTGTGATGAAAGGAAATATTGTAAGAGGGGGCTTTCCAGTGATAATTATAGTGTCATTTAACACTTTACGCGTGGAATGATGCAGCAAATTATCATGCCCGTGATACATGATTCCATTCGTGAGCTAGTAATCCATTCTTTACGATTCATACAAATTATTTGGCAACGTAACATTTAGAGGAATGGAATAGAACAGAACTTTAAAACAGAGACCCTAAGGGATTGATAGAAACTTGCAAAAAATTATCGATCCTTGAACCATCACCCCCAAAGTCATGACAACTACATTGAACCACTTCAGGGTTGGATTGTTGTTGAGTTGTTGCTTTGCCTACAAGTCTTGTTTTCCCACCTCTTGACTCCCTTAGCCTGAGGGCAGCCTGCTGATGGATCGATTCAAGAGCCTTCACAAGCGGAACATGCTGGAGCCCAGAGAGAGAGCCAAGTGAGTGGTCGCTCAAGCATAGCAGTGACAAAGCAGTAGCAGCAGTCACTGTCACTGGGTCCCATTGTGGTGGCATCACCATGTCCCCTGGGCCAAGCTCAGACATCATCTAAGGCCACTCGGAGCAGCATTGTGTACATTCATGCGGACACACGTACACACGTACACACGTAGTAGTCCACAGTCTATGTATGTACTTTGCGTCTAGGTATACAGCATGGACGTTATATCCGGTACCCTTTTTGCCGGTATCAAGACTCTCAAAAATAAAAGGCTTTACCCTCTGGCAATAATACAGGGGTTGTGCTAAGATGTTCAAACACCAAACACACACCTATTACATGAACCACACATTCTTGTGGTGAAAAATGCAAACAAATATGCTTTGATAATGTATGCATTGGCCTTAGCTGATTGTCCTACACCAGAAATAGCCTCTTTTATGGCTTTCTCACCGGTTTTAATCACAGCATCACCTCGCTTGGGTAAAGGATTGAAAGCGTTCCATAAATCTCTTGTATTATTGCTTTCGTAGTGAAACATGCATACGCTCACCCATGCAACCTTCACACGAGTGCAAGCTTATTGCAAATCACTGGTGCAAGCGGGACACCACATTCAGCTTCCCTGCCATGTGTATTTGCAACACTTGCCAACTCTGTTGTTTGAAGTGTAAACCTTCATTTGCGTGCCTACGTTGACATCTATACACGCATATCCTTCCGTCCCAGGTTCAAGAGGAAACACAAAGTGAAGTACCAGGAGAAGAGAGCCTTCCGAGAGATCACGTACGTATGCACGCATTCATCTGTCAAAATATTTCAACTATTACTATCAACTATTTTGTGTTCTACCAGGTAAGGCCCACTGAGCTATGTAGCTCTTTTTCATAAGCGACCTGGCCACAAAATGATAGCTCAACGAAGTGGCTTGTCGCGTGGAAAAATGTAATAGACAAATTCTCTAAATGCGTGTTTATTATAAATGTGGAGGGAAAAACCGTAGGACCCTGAGAAAGAGCCACGTGACCACGGGGAGAGACATGGAAACTCCAAATATGTAGGTGTCAGTGTTGGGATCGAACTCACGACCTCCTGTATACCAGGCGAGGTAGTTAACATCTTGCCACCGTGGTGTATCTATCACTAAACTCCGTGGTGTATCTACCATTCACTAAAACACTGAAGAGAGCGCGTTAAAGCAGAGGCTGCGAGGCACATAGCGATGCATCATTTGTTTAAAATCGGTTGTTACCAGCACTATGTTAACCTTTCATTCCCCCAATATTTGTAGGTGACTATTGTATGTCATACTTTTTGATTTTGCACAAGTGTACAATTGTAAATAAAGAAATATACGGCTCTAAATTTAGATACATTTGTTATGTAATGAAAACTTTTATGTAATCAATTTCGTTTCCCAACACGATTGGCTTTGTATAACAGTCTGCCCCTCACCATGTTTTTGTTGCTGGGACCACCCCCGATTCCTACAATCGATACAGTGAATCATGTACCTGAGAACCATTTACGCTTCATGCAAGCGATATAACGCGTAGTCAAGTGTAATGAACAAAACTGCACAATCGTGACAGAAAAACACACGAGGAACATTACAAGGAAGACGGTAAATCGAGACGGAAAGAACCGGCGTTGAACCGGGTTCACCAGGTAGGGTGAATCACACCGTGCCTAATGTCCACCGCCAAGTCCAGTGTGGGCTCCAGCGTGGATGCAGCCGTACCTCGTTGTTTTTTTCCTGGATTTTTCTGTTTGCGCAAAGTCACTTAAAGATGTTTTCTTGTTCATGTGTTTTTGTTTGTTGCGGTTGCACCCTATTCAAGAGCCGAATGGCTCACAGGACTATACCAAATAAATGAAACTGAAGCCTTTTTGGTAGTGCAAATGGCACCAACCTGACAATTGTGGACAGCCTTGGAAAGCACGCATGACCCCTTGTTGCTGCCGATGTTGGCCCAAGTGTGCGAGTGGGTAGCAGCTCGCTAGGCATGCTCTGATGAAAGTAAATTCTTATGCCAATGATAGATGTCAAATTGTTATTAAAAAGTTACCTTCTATTTAATTTACATTGATAATATTCTTTCCGGCCAATGGAATGAATGAGATGCGGTACAAGTGAGACATTGAATGAAGCCATTCACAATTCCAATGAGATGTTATAAGTGTCCTAAGCTTCCCATCGGCAGACTCAGCCTTAAATAATAAATACCGGTTTTGGTGTTATATTCATAAGCATTCAATAGTCATGGACATGATGCTGACCACAAAATCAGCCCCTTGTGGTGCTGGCTTAACAGGGGCTCTCAAAGGGCACTTACCACGACATTGACTAAGACTCAACAGGGACCTCTCTTGCGTGTGTGGTAATTGTTGGATGCTGTGTGCATCTGGTACTCGTGCCTCAATTCGGAAGACTAAATTGAATGTTTTTCTGCCCCCTTGTGTGCAGACTATAAAGACCACACTTGACCAAGTTTCAGCAGTCAACCCCAGCGCTGTACAGGCATCAATCCGTAATTAATTCAACATTACAACAAAGAAGTTGATAGACTCAAAAGACCGGCACAGATAACAGCCCAACACAAATTTGTACAACGTGTAACATTTTGTGTTTAATGTATATTCTCAAAACTATTCCATCAACGGCTCGGCAATAAAATGCGTTTTATATGCCTATGTAGTGGGTGGTGCAGAGTGGTTTGCACGTCATTGTTTCGGTCATTTATTTGATTATTTCGGATTGCTATTTCAAGAGCAGAAACTGAGTGCGTAAAGAGTGGGGGGGGGGAAAGGTCAAATATGTTAGATGGCTAGCAACTACCCATAATGTTTAATCATTTACGAGACGACTGCAGTAGTGTGAAATCTGCTGTGGTAATAGTCAGGGCTCATCTTAGCCCATTAACTCTCTCACTACCATTTGGTTGGCAGTCAAGTGGTTGTCCAGTGGAGACACTGGCCCCAGCCTTAACCGAGTTTGAATTTCCATCCACGGTTCAAAGCCACCGATGGATGCACTACACCAGGGAGACACTTTGATTTAAAACTTTGCTGTGCCTTGATGAAAAAAAGAGGCACTTTTAAACTCTTTAGGAGCATGAAGACCTTTTTATTATTGTCCTATGAGATATTTGGCCAATTCTTACATTAGATATACAAGTGGAAAAAGAGCCTGGAGAAATGTTTATATAAACTTGGAGAAATATATGCAAACGCAATAATGCTCCGTGAAAACCTACTTGGGTGTAGTGCCACCTCGAGGCACCATCTCATTACATAGAAAGTGGCTATAAATAACAACAATCATCATCATCCTTGTGTGAGCCACCAAACTGACCGTTGAAATTGATGATGACCAGCAGTTCAATACTACCACATCAAGCTGCAGTACCAACAATTAGTTCACAAGGCAATAGCTGCAAGCTACAAGCAAGACACAGCTTTCTGCCTGCAGGGTTCCAATTATGGATCGGTGATCCACCATGAACGTTTACATGGCAGATGGCGTGACAGCCAATTTATTAATTCTCGCAAACTATAAGAGGGGATGAAAGTGCTACAATCGTTACGCGTACTAATGCATGTAACAACGCCATGCAACTTCAATTTGGGGATGCGATTCAATTTAAGAATCGATTTTGCCACTGATTTGTCAAATTAGAACGCTTGAATAATCGATTGCCACAAGCGCAATTCTTAGCACACATTGCGAGCATAATTACCCATTTCTATTTGACTCAATACACTGCCACATGACCAATGCGTAGGCACTGTGACGTTGATGCTCAACAATCCCATTGTGGCTTGCCTGTACTCCACTACGCTAAAGCTTCTCTACAGAGGGGGCCTCCCTTTGTTTCTACAAAAAAACCGAGCGAAACCGCCTGTTCTGCAAGTGGCGGTGCTCTTTGCCCACACAATGGCCTACCGTTGGCAAAACATTTTTTTTGAAACCATTGGGCAGCGTGCCATTGGCGAGCAGTTGCCACTACCGCACGATGTGATGCTGCGTGTGCCCCGGACAAGCCAGACATATCTTGACTTGGATACGGGGTTCGGCATGCGCTGGCAGATCGCGCGGCCACGGTTGCACCAGCCCCCCCCCCCCGCCGTTCCTGCCACCCTCGGGCTGTGGCAGGGGGCACCGTTACAGGGGGCTCACGAGCACCAGCTGCTTGCCAATGTTGCCGCCCTGCATCATGGACACGAAGGCAGCTGCGGGCAGGGGGCGAGGACACAACGTGCATTGTACGACGACCCATAGGGCAACGACGCAGCCAGTGCCAACCTTGCAATGCATACTGGCTTGATGCATACCGTGGCCATGGTCACAGTTGTGGCTCCGACCAAGTTATAAGATGGGCTGCGGTCACACTACGATTATACGGTAGTCAAGACATCCTGGATTTTCCTGACGCAAACTACACCGTGTTAAATATGCTTGTGAGAATTGCTATAACTCACCGGTGTGAGTTTAAACGTTAATTGGTGCGTTGTTAAACGCTAGTACACCATGCGGCAATTTGTTTGGCTTTGTCGAGTGGTGGAGGGTCTTGCGGCAAATTTAGCCAAATTGATCTGGCCTGACCCAGAACCAATTATGTACGAGTCATAATATTGCCTTTGGAAACCTACGTCTTAAGTTAGGTACGGAACTTGAAGCTAAATGGTGTATTGAGACATCTGTTCTACATGCTGTAGAGCCACCGTTTTCATGGTTTTGTATGTTGAACCTCTTTCACACCATGCGTAGCCAACCGTGCCAATCGGAGGTGCAGGGGAAGGACCACAACATAAACACAAAAAGCAGCTCGAAAGAAACGAGCTTGTCAACTAGATTTAAAAGTGCATAGCTCCAGTGACTTCCCTAATATCGGAAGGAAGAGCAGAAGGACATCTGAATGCGTGCGATGCAGTGACCGTCTTTGTTCGAGTTTGCTCGATGGTTTATGCTCCTTAACGAGATCACAAAACTAATGTAAGTAACATCTATTATGGATTAAGAGTAGTCGGGCAATGAGTGCGCCGCTTTTACACAACTCGGTTCCTTTTGTAAACATCTGTAAGGCTGATCCCTCTTCTACCGTTTCAGTTTTTTTTAATCGTGCATTTCATACACACACAATGGTGTCATCGGAAGTTTCACCACCCCAAGCCAGTGGTAAAACTTCCACATTCCAATGGCAAGGGTCATTTCCCGAGGACAACCGCTGTCGAGTTGCCACAGATTGGTACTCGTTAAGCCCAACCCCAGGTGGATTGTGGACTACACGCAGTCGAAACTTTCTGAACATGCTCGCCGATGTTAGCACTTGGACAAAGTTCCAAGCAAATGACAAGTGGCTGTTTCACGCCGCGCTGTGTTGTCAAACTAAAAACTGCATGGGTTTGGAAGCAGTTGAATCGGTAACCAAGATTTGTTTAACGCATCGGCTTTCGCAACCAGTATTATTCATAATAAAGGTTTTTGGGTTAGATCGCATTTTTATAAATTTCACAACCCTCCACCACCCGATATGGCTAGTCAGTAAAAAAAAGTGTTACGTTGACAAAAGACAAATAGTTCACTACTTTAGCCTACCGGTGTGTTGAGTGAATCCGCAACATTTACAATTTGAGTACGACGTTCCGCTGGAAATTAAATCCTTGCATCTTCGGGCGATTTGCCAGAATTGTGAAGCCATCCACCTGCTTCTGGTCTTAAATAGTGCAGGATGACACAATTGTTGAGCCCCAACAAATTGTAAATGTTGTGGATTCACTCTTCAACACACCAGTGGGCTAAAGTAGTCTATTTGTCTTTTGTCATCGTAACACATTTTTTACTGATTGGCCATGTTGGGTGGTGGAAGGTTGCGACACATTTATAAATAACGCGATCTAACCCAAAAACTGTAATTATTAACCAAGATTTGGTTAAATGTTCAGTCTTGTATAAGTCAGGCAGGTTCAATCGGGCATCTCGGCCACTCCAATTGATGGTACCACACTTTTCCATTGCTTCCTAATGCTAGGTTCATTAGCCACCGCAGGAGTTAACACTCCGTCTCCCAGGACTGCTCCGATCAACACTGCCACTTCGCCGACGGTAACTGACCTATGGGTGCCACTCCAGGGCTGTGGTATTAACAACCACTGCTGTTGATGCCCCACACACACACCTCATCTCGCAAACATTTCATTAGCTGAGATCCTCTACCGTGACCTCTGGGCTGCTGATCACTGCACAATTCCCATGCTAGTAATCTGCACTCCGTCTGTAACAACAAAACCCCACCCCCTTTCCTGCTTACATCGGCATTATTTGTTAAAACTTCCAAGTTGCCTGACCTACCTTGCCATAAAGGGCACAGCGTCTCAAGATTCATGACCGCACCTTTTTAACTTGGCTGCAAGAGGGAACCGTTGCTACTATCAACACACCTAATCATGTACTGTCACTTGTGTCTTAAACTCAATCCTTACCTCCAACGTTTTCTATCCCGTCCATGATTGTCTCTTTCACCTGTCAACGGAAGGTAACGGAAGCAGCTGTTAATCATTTCACGTTGCACCATTCACGGGTTTCCAAGCACAGCATGGATGCAGCTCCAATCTGTCCACCAATATCCAGGCGTACGTGGGCACAGGATTTATACATTTGGATGAGAAGTGTTCCATTGAAGTGACTCGAGGTGTGACTTCGTGGCCTCGATGTCTCTTCCCCGCACCTCCGATTAGCGCGGTTGGCTACGTACGGTGCGAATAAAGTTAAGCGTACACGCATACATACCCGTTTCCACGCAACACCAGGAGGCTCTGCCGTTCCGCGCGGAGATTTTCATCGCCTCCGATAACGTCCGTCCCGATAGCGCAGCCGGCATGTCAAACTCGTTCTGCTTTAGTGCGAGGAATAGTCACCTTGAGCTGACCGCTCTGTACCCAGCTGGCGAGCTGCTGCAGACCCTCGGCGTGCTTGTCCGGGTAGTTGAGCACGAGGAAGCGGTCCCTGGATACAAACACGGACGTGCGTTAGACTCCGATCCCAGTGCGCGAGATGGCCGTGTGGTGCGGGGCTCAGAGCTTGTGAGCCAGCAACCGGCTCCGTATGGGTTCCAGTCCAGACAGCCGCCTGTCATAAAACCATGGTCGTGCGTGTAAGTGGAACGTTGATAGTCTCAGCTCAATGACCAACAATATTTATACTGGAGGAATCCGATGAGCTATAAAGCTCTTTTTCACAGATATCCAGTAGGGGCGTGGGAAGAACGTTACAACAGCAAACAATACAAAAACATGATGGTCGTGCAAATTACAAGGAAGATAAATCGCCCAAACACATACAAATACAATCTAAAACCATCCCCATTCTATCAAGCAAAACCAATCATTGCAACGGGAAACTGTCAACTTAATTTGGTGTTTCACTTCGGTGTGGCTCATTTTAGCCGAGACCTAAAATATCCGATCCATTAAAATGTGACAAAAGACTTCATGCAGGGCATATTAAAGATGGCCCTCGAGCGTGGATGAAGAGACATTGAAATTACTTTAGATAGAGCTCTCCAGTGTATTTCAGGGCTCTTGTTTAGTGATGTAGCTGCCAGAGTTTGTACGTTGATTGTCACTGGAAGGGCTGCACTGCTCTAGCTGCTCGAGTTTTCAATCGTGACAGTAGACGTTATGGCCTAGTGGCAGCACGTTCCCCGCTTGTTGCGGATGATGGCGGTTCTAATCCAGCGGCCGCTCCGATTGTTACTGCCGGGTGTAGTGAACCATAAAGCAGTTGGTAAAAACCTAGTTTTACAATGCACACATTTTTATTAGCACCTAAAATGAGACAATACATTCTTTGACCACATTTAAACAAATTTGATGTGCTGAATAAAAGTGGGTGGCTTGCAGAAAGAATATTAAACATATCAAAAGGAAACCACCGACTTTTATTCAGTACATCAAATTTTATATATTTTGGGGTAAAAATATTTTTGTTTCTAGTTTTGAGTGGATATAAAAGTGTGCGCATTGAAAAACCTGATTTTTGTACCTGATTTGTATAAATGTTTGTAGTGTTTTAAATTTCAATTATTTTTAAAAAAAGATCGGCAGGACCTGGACCAGTTCTCTAAAAATATTAACAGTCAAAAGATTTGAAAGACTAATAAACAGACAGCAGAGAAAGTTAAATAAAAGTGTGTAAAATAAAAAAAAAATATGACACGGCGTCCATTCCACAATGGACGTTATAGATCCCCCCACACACTTTTATTTAACTTGCTCTGCTGTGGAGCGGACGTTAAAGATCCCCCTACTCGCAAGAGTAGGCCATTACTTGCCAGCGTCATGGTCCAAATTTGAAAAGTTACCCACAAGTTAATTCTAGATTTGAACCTTTTGTGACTGCAAGGATCCATACTCTTTGGTTCTATTTGGTAAAGTCACGTAAGTAAAAAAATAAAATAAAAATCACGACGTTTCGGCCACAACACAAGTGGCCTTCATCAGGTGAAGGGACCGGACTGTCCAGAGGACAGCGTTGGAATGAAAAAAGCCAAGCCCAGGTCGCGTCTATTAAGCTGTGGACGCGACCTGGGCTTGGCTGTTTTCACTCCAACGCTGTCCTCTGGACAGTCCGGTCCCTTCACCTGATGAAGGCCACTTGTGTTGTGGCCTGAAACGTCGTGATTTATATTTTTATTGTTTTATTTATTTTTTTACCTATGTGACTTTACCGAATAGAACCAAAGAGTACCCACAAGTTACTTGATTGGAATAATACGGAGCAATCACAGCCACCCCCCCCCCCCCCCCCCCCCCCCCCCCCCACAAAGACTTGTCAGGATCCTCCTGAAAAAAGAGTCACAAGACGGAGGATATCCTGGGTAAACAAAGCGTAATGAATTCAGCACAATTGGGACAGTGTGGGGTGAGCGGAAACAACAGTACAATTGCAAGTAATCGCGTGTGTTCCTGATTCATAAAGTGAGTAATCGTGTCATGAAAACTGCAGCCACTTTGGATTCTGCGTGCACGATGAAGGCCACAGAGGACGAGTTTTGTCACGAAAGAGAGAGTCACGAGACTTGATTGCACTGCAGAGGAATGAATCATGCCGTGCTTAGTACTGGTAGGAACCTCTGGTCACACCAGCCCACAGGGGATTATTGTGTCCGTCGTGTATCCAAAAATAGGAGGGGTGGGGCTGGGTGGAGAGGGGAGGGGATGGGTGGGGAGGGTGGGGGGGGGCTGGGTGGGGAGGGGATGGGTGGGGAGGGGTGGGTCTGGGTGGGGAGGGGAGGATGGGGAGGGGCTGGGTGAGGAGGGGCTGGGTGGGGAGGATGGGGCTGGGTGGGGGGTGGGGCTGGGTGGGGAGGGGCTGGTCACCCCGTGGTGCCTTTATAAAACTCAACGTTTAACCTACTCACGCCGGCTTGTGCCCGCCCTCACAGTCGGTCATTTGCGGAATACACCACGTGGTGGTGCCGCCGTTGACCCTGGCCATTGACCGAGCCACCCAACGTTCCTACCAGCTCCCTCCGAAGGAATGTGTTTACGTACGCACTCATCGCATGCACGTATCCCGCACTACGTAAGCGTACGCGCCACGTTAGATGCGACGTAGCAAAAGCCAAAGGTGAGCCTCTCCCTGCTCGAGCAATAGAGTGGCAGTAACCCCCATTGGTGGTGCTCGGTCAGTGGTGACAATTATACATTCCAATGTCGGGGGGGGGGGGGCATGTATGTATTAAAGGATTATGTGGATAAATGCATACCTCTGCAGGTGTGTGTATGTAGGGCACCCCTCCTACACATAGCCTTGCCACGAGTTTGTGTGCCCATGTGCGTGTGCATACATGCGCGTGCCTGTTAGTGTGCGCCCGTGTCTGCCCATATGCTGCCACAGTGGGGAGCACAGGTGGTGCATATGCCAGTCATCTCAGCCAGTACACTCTTTTTAACACCCGAGCCTGTCCCGTGACCCACTTGCCAGCAGTGAGTCTTGCACACTTCACGGAATGACCTCAAAGTGTACCGAGCCTGGCACAAGCTCTACGGTGACGTCACTCGGTGGTAGAACGGAGGGCAAAGGGACAACGCTCACAACAACGGGCGGAGCGCCGGGTGGCTAAACCGCAGAGGGTTGGCACAGTGGGGAGCACAGCTGGTGCACCAGCCAGTCATCTGTCAACCCATGGCACCTGGGTCTGTCCCGTGACCTCCTGCCAGCGGGCCTTCGACACTTCACGTAGCCTGGAAGTGCACCTCGCATGGCACAAGCGCCGTGGTGACGTCACTGCCACTTAGTGGCGAGCGGCGGCAGGTTGTTGTCATCATCGTTATGTGCACATACCTGCTGATGTTGCGTTCCTGCAGCACGGTCTGTGTGTGCAGTGGGAGAGGAGGCGGGTAGGGCACGTCCTTGTTGTACTGGGAGATCTGCCCACACAGCACCACGTGGCCCCCCACATTCATCTGCAAAGAGTCACGCACACCAGTTACCCACAACACCAGTTGTTCTATCCTTCCCCCACGCCTCTTATTAGCACGGTTAGCCACATGCGGTGCGAAAAAAGTTCAACATACATACAATACACCACGAGACGAAAATCCCCCGTCTACCTGTTGGGGCAAGTGCTGTTGTAGGCCAACACAGCCAGCACACAAGGGGGTGGCGTGGCAACCACCATGCCTGGCTGCCCTTGTCTCCCCACTGCTGATGCTTACACACTGTGCCAGGTACTTTTTTAACGACACAGTCGACCTAGGGAAGGCCCAGGACCAGTTCGGATATTCGTCACCGATGTTGGCCGTGATTGGGAATTGAACTCAAGTCGCAAGCAGTAGCGAAATAATTACACTACTGCTCTCCGCACACCTAAACCTCACGCGCACATACGCATGTATGTGCACATGTACAGTGGGGGAAAAAAGTATTTGATCCCCTGCTGAAATTGTACGTTTGCCCACTGACAAAAATGATCAGTCTATAATTTTAATGGTAGGTTTATTTGAACAGTGAGGGACAGAATAACAACAACAAAATCCAGAAAAACGCATGTCAAAATATTATAAATTTATTTGCATTTTAATGAGGGAAATACGTATTTGACCCCCTCTGCAAAACATGACTTAGTACTCGGTGGCAAACCCCTTGTTGGCAATCACAGAGGTCAGACGTTTCTTGTAGTTGGCCACCAGGTTTGCACACATCTCAGGAGGGATTTTGTCCCACTCCTCTTGCAGATCTTCTCCAAGTCATTAAGGTTTCGAGGCTGACGTTTGGCAACTCGAACCTTCAGCTCCCTCCACAGATGTTCTATGGGATTAAGGTCTGGAGACTGGCTAGGCCAGGGGTCGGGAACCTATGGCTCGCGAGCCAGATGTGGCTCTTTTGATGATTGCATATGGCTCGCAGATAAAACAAAATATTCTCACTTGTTTTAATCCATCCATCGATTTTTCACTGCGCATGTCCTGTTCAGGGCTGCAGGAGCAATTGTCCATTATTTTAATTGGATGATACTGGCCTACGTTTGCCGTTGCTGGGTAAAACAGGTAAACGCCCCCTTTTGAATCAGTCTGAGACTGCGTCTGCTCGGTCATTAGCTCAAAGCTAACCCTTCGACGAAGAAGATGGCGAAAAGAAAAAAAGACGACGAGTATCGTACATTTCAGGACGAATGGACCGAAGAATTCGCCTTTGTGGAGAGAGCGGGTTCTGCGGTGTGTCTAATTTGCAATGACAAAATTACATCGTTGAAACGGTCGAATGTAAAGCGGCACTTCGACACGCGCCACGCTACCTTTGCATCAAAATACCCTGCGGGAGACAGCAGAAAGAAAGCGTGCCAAGAGCTGAGCAGGGTGCAAGCTAGCCAGCAGCAACTCCGCGTATGGACCCGGCAAGGTGACTATAATTCGGCTAGCTTTGCTGGTTCTTTAGCAATAGTGAGGAACGGAAAACCATTCACAGATGGCGAGTATGCTAAAACGTTCATGCTGGATGTAGCCAATGAACTTTTTGATGATCTTCCGAACAAAAACAAGATAATCAAACGGATACAAGACATGCCTCTGTCGGCAAGAACTGTTCATGATCGTACCATCGTGATGGCAAACAAAGTGGAGGAAACGCAAGTGAAGGACATAAATGCAGCGCCGTTCTTTTCTCTGGCTTTGGATGAGTCAACAGACGTGAGCCATTTGTCGCAGTTCAGCGTGATTGCAAGATATGCTGTTGGTGACACACTGCGCGAAGAAAGTCTTGCTGTTCTGCCATTAAAAGGGTCCACAAGAGGTGAGGATTTATTCAAGTCTTTCATGGAGTTTGCTCAAGAAAAAAGTCTACCTATGGATAAACTTCTCTCAGTGTGTACTGATGGTGCTCCGTGTATGGTGGGGAAAAACAAAGGATTTGTGGCGCTTCTCCGTGAACATGAAAATAGACCCATCCTAAGTTTCCATTGCATTATACACCAGGAGGCACTTTGTGCTCAGATGTGTGACAGGCAGTTTGGCGAAGTGATGTCGCTGGTCATTCGTGTGATCAACTTTATTGTTGCCCGAGCCTTAAATGATCGCCAGTTTAAAACACTGCTGGATGAAGTTGTAAATAACTATCCTGGTCTGCTTTTGCACAGCAATGTGCGTTGGTTGTCAAGAGGGAAGGTGCTTAGCCGTTTTGCGGCTTGCCTGAACGAAATCCGGACTTTCCTTGAAATGAAAGGCGTCGGGCATCCGGAGCTAGCCGACACCGAGTGGCTCCTCAAGTTTTACTATCTCGTAGATCTGACTGAACATCTGAACCAGCTCAACGTGAAAATGCAAGGCATTGGAAATACAGTGTTATCCCTTCAACAAGCTGTATTTGCTTTTGAAAACAAGCTGGAGCTTTTCATCACGGATCTTGAAACAGGTCGTTTACTACATTTTGAAAAACTGAGCCAATTTAAAGATGCATGCACAGCAAGTGAGCCCATTCAAAACCTTGATCTCCACCAGCTAGCTGGCTGCACATCCAGTCTCCTACAGTCCTTCAAAGCACGCTTTGGAGAATTTCGTGAGCACACTCGTCTTTTTAAGTTCATCACCCATCCAAACGAGTGTTCACTGAACACAGCCGACCTGAATTACATCCCTGGTGTCTCCGTCAGAGATTTTGAAGCAGAAGTGGCTGACCTGAAGGCCTCAGACATGTGGGTGAATAAGTTCAAGTCACTGAATGAAGATTTGGAAAGAATCACACGACAGAAAGCGGAGTTGGCGAGCAAGCACATGTGGACAGAAATGAAAAAACTCCAACCCGAAGACCAGCTGATTCTCAAAACTTGGAACGCGCTTCCTGTCACATACCACACACTGCAGCGTGTGAGTATTGCTGTATTGACCATGTTTGGATCTACGTATGCATGTGAGCAGTCATTCTCACATCTTAAAAACATCAAGTCCAACCTACGATCACGTTTAACGGATGAAAGCCTCAACGCTTGCATGAAGCTTAACCTCACCAAGTACCAACCCGACTACAAAGTACCAACCCGACTACAAAGACATCAGCAAATCCATGCAGCACCAGAAGTCGCATTAATGGTGAGTGTTATAACAACATTATTTAAAAGAATAAATTCAGAGGCTTATTATACTGACATTTAGTTGAATTCACTTTTAAAATATATTATATGGCTCTCACTGAAATAAATTTCCAAATTTTTTGCTTTCATGGCTCTCTTAGTCAAAAAGGTTCCCGACCCCTGGGCTAGGCCACTCCAGGACCTTAATGTGCTTCTTCTCGAGCCACTCCTTTGTTGCCTTGGCCGTGTGTTTTGGGTCATTGTCATGCTGGAATACCCATCCACGACCCATTTTCAATGCCCTGGCTGGTGGAAGGAGGTTCTCACCCGAAGATTTGACGGTACATGGCCCCGTACATCGTCCCTTTGATGCGGTGAAGTTGTCCTGTCCCCTTAGCAGAAAAACACCCCCAAAGCATAATGTTTACACCTCCATGTTTGACGGTGGGGATGGTGTTCTTGGGGTCATAGGCAGCATTCCTCCTCCTCCAAACACGGGGAGTTGAGTTGATGCCAAAGAGCTCCATTTTGGTCTCATCTGACCACAACACTTTCACCCAGTTGTCCTCTGAATCATTCAAATGTTCATTGGCAAACTTCAAACGGGCATGTATATGTGCTTTCTTGAGCAGGGGGACCTTGCGGGCGCTGCAGGATTTCAGTCCTTCACGGCGTAGTGTGTTACCAATTGTTTTTTTTGGTGACTATGGTCCCAGCTGCCTTGAGATCATTGACAAGATCCTCCCGTGTAGTTCTGGGCTGATTCCTCACCGTTCTCATGATCATTGCAACTTCACGAGGTGAGATCTTGCATGGAGCCCCAGGCCGAGGGAGATTGACAGTTCTTTTGTGTTACTTCCATTTGCGAATAATCGCACCAACTGTTGTCACCTTCTCACCAAGCTGCTTGGCAATGGTCTTGTAGCCCATTCCAGCCTTGTGTAGGTTTACAATCTTGTCCCTGACATCCTTGGAGAGCTCTTTGGTCTTGGCCATGGTGTAGAGTTTGGAATCTGATTGATTGATTGCTTCTGTGGACAGGTGTCTTTAATACATGTAACAAGCTGAGATTAGGAGCACTCCCTTTAAGAGTGTGCTCCTAATCTCAGCTCGTTACCTGTATAAAAGACACCTGAGAGCCAGAAATCTTTCTGATTGAGAGGGGGTGAAATACTTATTTCCCTCATTAAAATGCAAATCAATTTATAACATTTTTGACATGCGTTTTTTCCGGATTTTGTTGTTGTTATTCTGTCTCTCACTGTTCAAATAAACCTACCATTAAAATTATAGACTGATCATTTATTTGTCACTGGGCAAACATACAAAATCAGCAGGGGATCAAATACTTTTTTATCTCACTGTAGGTATGCACACCTCAACTTCGCAAACCCACACATACACACTACCAAGAAGGCAACATACAAACACATCAACTTGCAAACTGCAATATACCAATTCACACGTATGAATTCCTGCAGTCACGAAAACTTTAAGTCAACATGTATGTACGTTGAACTTCTTTCACACCGTACGTAGCCAACCGTGCTAATCAGTGTTCTGCGGAAAAGACAACAAACTAAACACAAAAAACAGTTCTAAAGAAATTAGTTATCAATGTACATTTAAAAGTGCATAGCTCCAGTGGCTTCCTAATATCGGAAGGAAGAGCCTTCCAGACGGCCGCAGAAGCGCATCTAAAAACGCGCGATGTGGTGACCGTCTTTGCTCGATGGCGAGTCAAAAGCCGCTGCGCGAATGGTGACCGGAGTTTGCGTGATGGTTTATGCACCATGACAAGACAAGCAAGGTATCGTGGTTCATTTGTGGCAAGCACTTTGTGTGTAATGAGTGTGACCTTGTAATGTATTCGTTCAGCAAACGGAAGCCAACGAAGCTCGGCGAGCACCAGACACACATGGTCAGATGTTTGTTAGAGTACCCGTCACGACATGTACCAAATAATTTTTTGCACACGCATACACACATATCCACACAACCCAACACACATCCCTATTCAAAAACCATAAATAATGTTCAGAAACCCACATACACTTCAACACAATCACACCCACGCATGCATACCTACACACACACTGACCTACACAGACCCACCCCTACGCCGATACACACGGGCATGCGAACACACATGTGAGTCACTGCCACGTCCTCTGGTGTGCTATGTTTACAAATCGCGAATATGATTTTGAGATCAGTATCAGCATTACCTTAGGTCACGCGGGCACACTGGGTTTGTAATTACGTGTTTTGCTGAACCGATGTTATTTGTAGATATACAACTCTCTTGCAAATCTGCTGCCGACTCGGGGCCTCCACACGCACCCATGCGGTCGTGGAGGACGTTGGACCATACCACGCTGGTTGTTTCATGGCACATAAACTAAACTATTTAAACTAAACTATTTTTTATTTTACAAGGGTAAGGCCCACTCAGCTATGTACCTCTTTTTCAGAAGCGACCTGGCTATCACAAACGATAGCTCAAGGAAGTGGCCGGAAATGTATACCAGTGAAATACTCGAGAAGCACATTGATTCTAAATGTGGAGGGGAAAAACCGGGAGGACCCAGAGAAAAATCCACGCGACCACGGGGAGAGAGACGTGCAAACCCCAAATATACAGGTGTCAGGAGTGGGGATCGAACCCATGATCTCCTGCATACTAGGCGAGATAGTTAACATCTCATGGCGCCACACTGCGTGTGTAACACTCGCGGGTTTGTCTCAGACCATCGACTCAAGGGAGAGTGAAAATTGTGGCCAAATTTCTCCTGCTACACTGCAGATACAGGCCTCCACCTCGGAGCACGGCAGAGAGTCTCGCACAGTGGTGTGTGCGTGCGATCCACCAAGTCCGCGTCCAAGGCACTGGGGTTAGAGGCGTGCGCCCCGTGTCGGTTCCCGAGTTTATTTCGTTGAACCAAAAGTGAGAACTCAAAGAGACCGGGGTGACCTGGGTCACCAAAATAGCAAAAGCAATTAACAAGCACTGAGCGCCAGAGGAAAAACAACCGCACCGAATAAAAAAAAATATCGAAAATAGTGGAAAATAAAATAAATTTCCCGAAATTGAAGTTAATATGGGAAAATTTGATTTAAAAACAGAGTGAAATGAACACAAAACATGAACCCATATCTAACAGAGGGGGTCCTAGCCTATAAACATCTGGCAGTTCACCAGGATTGGTTCGAGCAAGCCTGTCTGCTGACGAGGCACTGAATGTCAAAACCGATCTAGAGTTTGCTTGTATTAGACCAATGCTGGTGAGTAGGCCATGTGGCTGATGAGATGTGTACAGCATTCCCTCGTTATTCGGGATACATTCCGGAGATGCTCGTGAAAAGCAACTTTTGCAGGATGATATTGGCTCGATGAAAACCTCGAATGAAATACCTTCAATAAATACAGTAGCTATTGAACATGTAAAAATTATCATAACACGCAAAAAAGTGGTTATAATAAACATAAAATGCAACTAACTAAAAGACCCTGCGAATCTTAGCAGCGTTAATTGAAGCTCTATCGTCGCGACAGTTTTGTTCTTTCACCTGAAGAAGGCTGCTTGTGTTGTGGCCGAAACGTCGTGAGAATTTTATTGTGTTATTTTATTTTATTATTTTATTCTCATTCTACGTGACTTTACCGAAAGAACCAAAGAAGATGAATCCTTGCAGTCACGAAAGCTTTAAATCGAAACTATTAAAGTATTAAATAATAGTTTAGAAATGAACTTACCTTAAATGATGATGATGATTATGTTGTACATCATCACTCTCTCTTGAGACGACTGTCATTAAATATACAGTGGTACCCCAGAGATCGAACTTAATTCGTTCCAGAAGGCCATTCGAACACCGATTTGTTCGAACACCGAATTAATTTTCCCCATAAGAATGAATGTAAATGACATGAATTGGTTCCAGACACAAGACATCTCTCATTATAAAGCATTTTTACACGAAGTTTACAGTAATTACATGCATAGAATCATACAAAAAAACAAGAAACACGATAAATAAATGGAATAAATGAATAAATATATGGAATAATGAAATAAATGAACATTGAACTTTACCTGTAGTAAGGAGAGTTGATGGCTTGAGTGGAAGGTGGTTAGGAGGAGGACGTGGTAAAACCTTTGTCTGGGCAAGCGTCATACACGCTGCTGCCACCACGCGTCTCAGCCGTACAGGTTCTTTCAAGTCGCGATTACCGTTCGACCTCCGAATTTCGTTCGGTTTCCGGAGCAAAAAATGTTCGGAAATACTAAATATGTCGTTCGAACACCGATTTGTTTGAGTTCTGGTGCGTTCGATCTTCAAGGTTCTACTGTATTTGTTTTACATGCGGGGACCGAACGAGAACGGCATAGCCGTCTGCAAAGTAGCACCAAGTTACAGAAACAGCAACGTGAGCTTAGTTTAACGCGTGTAGGCTTTCACGACCAATATTATCCATGTGTGGGTTTACCCTCCAACGCACCGGCGTGCCCAAGTAGTAACTAATCGGCACGTTTCGTTTTCGTGATAAACCTTACCGATTGGCGGGTTTAACGACACATTTTACATTCAAGCCATCTGACCTAACCCCCCCCCCCCTCCCTAAACCCCCCCCCTACTTTACGGACAACGTGAGTACAGGACGCGAGCCCGAAAACCGCCAAGGGCGGCGAATCTGCCGCGTCGTCGTCGTCATCGTCGTCGTCTCGCCTGCTCGATGACGGCGTCGCTGAGCGGCCCCCCGACGTTGTCGAAGTAGAGGTCGACCCCCTTGGGGCACGCCGAGCGCAGCTGCCCAGCCAGGTCCTCCGCGCGGTAGTCAACCGCCGCATCAAAGCCCAGCTCGGCGGTGAGCACGCGGCACTTGGTGGCCGAGCCGCACACCCCCACCACCTTGCTGCAGCCCTCCAGCCGTGCGATCTGACACCAAAGACAAAGACCCCCCCACCCCACCCCACCGTATAGCCTTAACATACTGTTGGGGCAAGTGCTGTGACCGGGCACATGCGAAGGACAATGTGCGGGCAGCAACCACGCCCAGCCGCCTTTGTCTCCCCAGTGGAGATGTTTTTAATTCGCACCGTGTACTGTGTAATGACTCTCGGACGACACGAACTGTACTCATTTAAATCTGAGTCAACCTCGGAGAGGCCCACAACCTATTTATATATTCGTCACCGAAGTTGTCCGTGATCGAGAATGAAACGTGGACCACTGGATCTGTAGCGCAGCGTGCTAACAAACAACGACAACTGCCGTTCACCTCTATGTGGTGGTGACATAACCACGGCGCTTTTGCCAGGCTAGGTGCACTTCAAGGCCACGCGATGTTGGCAGGAGTTCATGGAACAGACCCAGCAGGTGCCATGGGTTGACTTGAGGTGACTGGCAGACGCACCACCGACACTACTATACACACATCCACAACAGCAGCCACCATTCACCACTAAGTGGCGTTGTCGTCATTGTAGTTCTGTCCAAAAGGACTCCAACCTGCTCTCGACCGCCTATTTTCTTCACAATATGCACACTGTTTCCCTGTTCTTTCCAGCAAATGCAATAAAATATCACCGGAAGGTTGCAGCGATGCTTGAAAACTCCGATTAGCACGGTCGGCTACGTACGGGTGTGAAAGAAGCTTACCATACACGCATATGCATACGAAACAAATACTTATCCAATGACTCAAACAGTACGATAACATACAAATGTAAATAACTTCCGAGGAACAACGCGTGTTGGAAGCCTTTACAGAATCCACGCGTGATTTTTTTCATCCTTCTGTCTTTGTAATCACTGACACCCATCAACGCGTTTTGTTTTTTTTTACATTCGGACGATGTCCCTGCCCACCCTGGGGGCCCCATGCTCACCTGCCCGACCAGATGCCCACAGGCCCCGGCCGCACCGCTCACCACCAGGGCCTGCCCGCCGCGTGGCTCGATGTGGCCCCCCGTACGCAGCCCCAGCAGCGCCGTGAGCCCCGGCATCCCCACGGCGCCCAGCGCCAGCGAGGGCCGCTCCGCCAGCCACGCTGGAGCCAGCTGCAACACAGGGGAGGCCTGGTTCACCCTGTGGAGGGCTCTACTTGCACAACAAGGAAATCGGTTTCCTTCTCACGGCGAAAGGCGAATCGGTAAAAAACTGACAGCCCGCGGGGGGTCCTTTGGATGTGATCGTCGGTCCATCCCTCCCTCCCTCCAGCCAGCCAGCCAGCTATACTTTTGTCTAATACAGTTGTAGAATATGATAGCATATCCCGTGCGTTGGCACGGGTACCGTGGCATGGGTTGAGGGAGTGTGGGTGGGTGCTTGATTGGGGGGAGGCGTAGCATCAGCTCGAACCACGAAGCCAGTTCAAGGATATGAGATGCGGGTGGCATCACACAGATGTGCGCTGTGACGTGACCATCCACGCACACGCAATTGTGCACCATGCCAGCCAGGCAGGCGGGAATCCAAGCAGGAAGCCAGCCAGCAAAAAATATTTCTAATATTGTATAAAACAGTCAAAACGTTTCAAGCAGGAGCCTCTTGAAGAAGGGTGTTGAGACTCTACTGAGAGGCTTTGTCGTCTTTATCGTGTTTGCCGAGTTCCATCCTAAAGGACTATCATGCAAAACAGCCAGTGACAGAGATAATTAATGATAGTACAGCAGATGAGAATCAAAGCATTGCTTACATTGAGCAAGCTTATAGGAACAAGGAGGGAGTTCCAAATCGGAGCAATGCGAGTAATGAAGGAAGACAAATGTTTTGTCCAGGATGAGATAAAAACTCAATCCTTGACATGGGTGTAGGTATCAAGGCGTGAAGTTGATTAGAATGACCGTGGTATTAGTACAAAAGGAGCGATAAGTGACCAAATTACAGATTACATCTGAGTAGCTATTTTTAACAAGTACATTGGTGTCACACAAGTCCAGGCATTGTGTCTACGTCACTGGGAGAATAGTGCAGTGAGTTAGTCACGAAGCTACTGCTTCTCCCTGCCTGGCTGCCTGTCTCTCCAGTGCTCATGTTCACACACTCCATCAGGTATGCATGTTAAGGCTGAGCCAACCTTAGTGAGATCCACGTGAGGTGTTGATACAGTACAGCTTTCCATTAGTGCTGTTAACCCTTTCCCGTTCCAAGACGTATGCAACTTGCAGGGTGGGTTTCACCGTTCGCCACTGAATCTCGGAACACGCAAGCGGCACGGCGTTAATTTAGAAAGGCGTAGCGCCGTTGTTTTTAAAGGCACTGTAGTCACCACAGAGAACTGTTGTGACACGACCGCACTCTACGATAGCTGGCGCAAAACTGTGCCACGCGCCCTCCTGCATGGCCTTGCGGGAGCCTTGGTACCGATATTTTTATTCCGGTTCCATGTCGATGACGTACGTCATCATAACGGAATCGAAAGAAAAACTGATGACGTCCCCTCTCAGTGATGCAGATACAATGGCCAACATCTGAACCTGGGGTTAGTGACTGCAACACCACTCCATCGTCTACATAAGATCCAAAGATCCAAACACACAACAACATAATATATCTCCATTTTTACTCTTCACGCAAAGAGATAGGCACATGGACATAAGAAAAATAATGGACACATAAGTACACACAAGAACCCATAGAGACGCAACAAAGACAAAGATCCCCCGTATAGCCTTTTAACAGACTGTAGGGGCAAGTGCTGTTAGCAATTACCTATTAAGGCCATACAGATAGGCGCACGCACACGCACACACACAGATCTAGGCATGTAAAAAAGTAATTGTATTCACATACACACGTATGTGAATACAATTACATACACACGTACGAATAACAACAGCTGCAGTTACCACTAAGTGGCGCTGACATCATCACAGCACTTGTGCCATACAAGTTCACATTGAGGTTACAAGTTCAAAGATCATGAAGAGTCCCAGAAAGGCAATGCAACAATCCACTCTCCAAAGATCTGATAACAGCAAGATGTTTGGTCAATTCTATACACACATGTGCAGAAACAATGACACACACACATGTACAATGACAAAGATTCATCTTATAGCCTTAAGTGGATTTGGCTTAAGTGCTGTTAGCGAGCACCTATAAAGATTGGCATGGCACATGATGGGGTGGGTGGTCAGCACCATGCCCGGCCGCCTTTGTCTCCCCAGTGGCGATATTTACACCACACCAGATACTCATTTGAGGTTGAGTCGACCTAGGGTAGGCCCAGGACTGTTTCAGATAATTGTCACCTGCCAGAATTGGCCATGAACAGGAATCGAACTCGGGTAGCTGGTTTCATAGTGCAACATGCTAACCGCGACACTACCACTCCCCAAAACAAAGACAAAGATCCCCCGTATATCTTCAACAGACTATTGGGGCAAGTACTGTTAGCGAGCACCTATGAAGCACAGCAAGGCATACTTAAGTACAACTGACAGATGCACCACACATAAGTACATAGCAACAACAGCCACCATTCGCCACTAAGTGGCGGTGATGTCACTTCAGTGCCTGTGCCAGGCTTGGTGCACTTCAGGGCATAGATAAATAAATAACAAAGATCCCCGTTAAGAGCCTTAACAGACTGTTGGAGCAATTATTATTCGCGAGCACCTACGAAGGCCAGCAAGGCACACTAGGGGGTGGGGTGGACAGAACCACAACAATAGATGGCGATGATGTCACCACAGAGCTTGTGCCAGGCTAGGTGCACCCTAAGGCTATCACGTTAAGTGTGAAAGTCTCGCTGGTGGCAGGAGGTCACGGAACAGACTCAGGTGCCGTGGGTTGACTGACTGAGATTACTGGCACCACACTCACACCTACTTACACACACGCAGACCCACACACTTGATTGAACACACGCGGGAGCCTGGTAGAGAGACAGCGGGCGGGTGTGCACCTTCTGCAGGCCACTCGCGGGCAGCACGGCGTGCGTCTGCCAGGGCCAGGAGAAGCTGGTGACCACGTCCCCGGGGCTGAGGCCCTCGCCGCGGGAGGAGAGCACCACGCCCACGCCGCCGCCCTCCGCCACGCCACCCACCGTCCACGCCGACAAGTAGTCGGTACCTGGGTCCTCGTTCATGCGGCAGCGCTGGGCACACGCAGACCGGGTACAGCGCGGGTGGCAAAACATCCAAACAAACTGGTGTCGGCAAATCCATTTCAAAGGCAATGTATATATTATCAGAGCATGTTTGTTTGCATGTTCACCACAAGCACCGTGTGTGGTTAATGCAGACTTGATTCCTTGCAAAAGGTTTCTCTATTTGGTGTTTGAACATCTTAACACCTCCTGTTTTATTGCCAGAAAGGGCAAAACCTATTCTCATTTTTGATGCCAACTGCAAGAACTCCTGCTGGAGAACGTCTTTGCCTCATGACACGATGCAAATGAAATAAGTGAAACAAAAGGAATATATCGAGGGGGAAGCACACAGCCTCTGTGGATTATGCAACAACCATCAGCAGTTCCTGCAGAAGTGCATTGTGGTCCTCTTGTCTTAAGCCACCGTCGAAATAAATTTGAGAAAATATGACTTTACTGATAGGCAGCAGTAATATGAGATGACTTTGGGCTGGATTCACACTTACTAGGGCTCATCAACATAGTATAGTCACCAAAGCCCACTGCTTCAAAGTCTGATTCTACAAACCATATCTGTGGAGTTCCCACTTGCACACTCCCAGAGGCAAGAATTTGCAGCACTGAGTATTGATAGGTATAGTCGGTCACATTTGCTCACGTTTTATTTTGATGGTGACATACGACAAGAGGATCACAATGCCATTCTTCGGGGACTGATGGTTTTTGCATAATGCACAGAGACTGTGTACTTTTTCTGTGGGTTGTTGTTGTTGTTTGAAATGCGTTGTTCGAAACGTACGGTTTTCCTGCCTGCACTATTAATGGATTTGTTTTATCATGAACACATTTAATCCAAGTGGGTGAAATAGCCAAATAAATAAACATCCATTTCGGTGACGTCTGCTACATTACGGCGACTTATGAAACGGCCGTAAACGACTGTGCACTCGTTACCAGGCAGTGTCTCACCGGGATGTCTCGGTGGTAACTCTCCCCTGGGCTCACTCATCTGTAACGGTTACCTTCAGCTCACCTCACATAAGCTAGGCACGGGCACGCACACCCCAGCAACGTGTGTGCATGCACGTGTGTAGTGGTGAGTATTGCACTTGTATGGACAAAGACAAATACAAAGATCCCCCGTATAGCTTAAACAGAATTTTGGGGCAAGTGCTGTGAGCGAGCTTGTATACGCACGCACACGCGTGGGTGTGCGTACGACAAGTGCCGTTAGCAAGCTACAGTTTTAGCCACAATGCCGCAAAAGGGGCCTAAATTGGAGGTAAGAGTAATAATACGCGCAATCGGGGATTATTTGACAGCCAATGTGACCATAAGTTCAGCCTTTCCATGTCACATGGCATTGCTACACAGCCTTTTTTTTAGACTGCAGACTCAATGATTTTTAATTGTGGCCATGTAATTATTAGTGGTATATATCATGTTTGTGTGATGACACCAGAGAATTTGAAGAGAGAAAAACCCCACACATATGAGAGAGGGGATACAAGTCAAAAATGTATATCAGAATCAAAATCTTTATAAAGACTGGAGGAATCCAATGAGCGATGAAGCTCTTTTTCACAGATGCCCAGTATCGGTGGGTCAGCAAGTTACAACAACATACAATACAAAATGGTTAGCAGGTCACTCGATATAAATAAATAAAAAGATACATTTTTTTACATAAGTCCACATTTATCAAGATTGGGCAAGGCAGCAAAAGTAACAACAAAGGCAGTCCCAGACCACACCAAGATAGCTTGGTCACCCGTTTACCACCCTGTTATCCACTGGCCACTTCATAGCCTGGGAGTATTACAAACGCATTAAACCGATTCCCCTGGAGTAGTCCCATTTCATGTGTTGCATGAGTGTGTGTGTGTGCGTTACCATGTAACGCACACACACACATGCCCCCCAGGTAGCGGTTAGCGTGCTGTGCTATGAGTTCGGTTCCCGCTCACGACCAACACCAGTGATGATTATCCTGGGCCTCCCCTAGGTCGACTCAGCCTCAAATGAGTACCTGGTGCGATGTGTAAACATCGCCACTTGGGAGACGAAGGCGGCCGGGCGTGGTGCTGGCCACCCACCCCCTAGTGTGCCGTGCCGGCCTTCATAGGTGCTGGCTAACAGCACTTGCCCCAAAAGTCTGTTTAAGGCTACACGAGGGAACCTTTGTCTTTGTTACCATGTAAGGGTCCACAGAGAGGTAGATTGTCTTCAGCACAACGTGCCCTTCGGGGGGCTCCTCCACCACCTCTTGCTCCTGCACCTTGAAATTCTCCATCCTGGGTTCCCCGTCGGCACCTATCGTAGCACCATGGAGAAGTGCAATCTCAGCAGTATCCGTACACCTCTGATTCCTTCCCCCGCACCTCCAATTAGCATGGTTGGCTACGTACGGTGCGAAAGAAGTTCAACATACATGCAAGGCAGGCTAGCAAGTGGGAATCGATCAATTCACTCCCACAGTGATTGTGTGAATCTTCTATTATAAAAGCCCGGCGTTCCGTTTGTCTGTCAACTAAATTATTCGAGCCTTTCGGAAGGCCAGGATCAAAAAGTTGTAGAAAGTGGACCCCCCTCCCAGATGTGGGGGTAAAAAGATGATCCAACAGTTTTCCAAAAATTGTTGACCCCACCCGAAAGAATGTCACCCACCCCAACCAAAAAAAATATCTTTTTTGAGACATGCCTACAGCCTACACACCCTACATACAATAGTCAGTAGTATATGTACACATTGGGGGGGGAGAAGAGGACATCAGTGGGGGCGACAAGCGAGGGGCAAAGTGCCGAGAAGCCCTCCGGAATTTGAGTGTAACAAATTGTCACGACTTGGAGTCACTATTTGAGTCAAGAATCAATTCCCATTGTTTGGCTTGAACCATCTCCATCTTGTGTCTCATTATTACACGCTTTTTTTATTAACGCACTCTGTTGTTGCTGTTGTATCCTCAAATCTTGTAACTCAATTTTAACCCACTTCCCAATGTGGTATCGACTGCAAACGTGGTATACTTATGTCATACTGATGACAATACTATATTCTATCATAAAAAATAAAATAAAATATTTTTAAACATTATTTTTGTATATGTTATGTTTCGGCTTGGGTCTAATTGTCCACGCTCAACTGACGTTGGCTGTAAATCACCACGGTCCCCTTACGTTGTGTCAAGCTTCGGGAACACTTACTGGAGTCGTGGAGTTCTTCCATTACGAGTAAGGGTACATTTAATTAAAGCGTGTTTTTAAAAAAGTTTTTTTAAACACTACTTTTATTGTCTCATCACGGTTCTGTTTGCTCCGTACGCCTAAATTATACTTTCACGTTTCACGTGCATTACATTTCCATCATTGTTATTTAAAAAATAATGTGCTAATTGTCAACATAAAAACGGATTAATGGAAGCATTGGTACAAGCCTAGTTGCCTGAAAGTGTATCAGATGTGGCTGGAAAGTGTATCATATGGTATAAATGAATAAAACAACATGAACTAATTAAATCCATAGCTTAGTCAGCTCTGTTGCTTTATGACTAATATTTGTGGCCACATTCGACCTGCGAGAGCTAGCGTTGCAATGGTTGGATGTTTAATATTCATAGAGGAGTGGCGTGGGAGTGGCGTGGAAGTGGCAGGAATTCATCCCATTATCCATTGTCTGTTCTTGGATAATTCATCCACAAATTATTTCCAGAGAGAAGCAACTTCATATTTTCATCAGACTTCTCACAAATAAAATGATACATTCGAAATTTGCGAAAAATGCACCTACAGTGTTTACAATTAATTACCTGTCGGTTAACTGTGGTAAGGAGTTAATTTTTTGTATGACTAGGCACGAACACTGCAGTTGATGCTGCCAATACCGCGACCTAAATCAACGTGGACAAAAAAGGCGTTAGCTTCACTTTATTTTTCTGGACGTGCATTGGCACCCAATAAGCACACTGACGAGCCCTAAGCAAGCGTGAAACGCTTGAGTGTAAATATCGTTCACGCAGTGCACTGCATAATACTATCGTGGAGGGCTTTCAGCCGATTGCCTAAGCCGTATTTGTTTAGCCAATGCTTTGTAGCGGATGCAGGTGAAGGGGGAAAGGTTAAAATAATAATAAAGGTGGTCTAGCCATGGGCCAGCTGTGTTGATGCGTGCTGCTGCAATGTGGTTCGTGTGTGCGGTGTGAGGTCTGCGTCAGTGTGTGCAGTCAAACCCCCATAGCGGCTGCGCGTCTGGTGTGATACATGGACATCACCACTGGGAAGGAATACAAAGGCGGCCGTGGATGGTTCTGGCCGGCTACTCACTCACCCCCACCCCCCCCCCCCGGCTGGTGTGCCGTGCCGGCCTTCACAAGTGTTCGCCTTACAGCACTTGCCCCAACAGTCTGTTAAGGCTACACGGGGGATCTTTGTCCTGGGTGTTGCGCTTCACGTGGTGAGCCCGCAGGCAGTGTAAGTGAGCGCATGGCCCCGGGTTCACCCACGGTGGTGAGAGGTGTGTGGTGTGTGAGTGTGTGGTGTGTGAGTGTGTGGTGTGTGTGACACTGAAAGTGAACGCATGGTTCACTCACCGGGTCGGGACGCCAGGATGACCGCCTTGGCCTTCATTGCCGGTGCCACGATCCCTTCTCCTCTTCAGTAGCCCTTCCTGCTGTGGTTAGCGCCTTGCCCGCCCCGCGTGTGCGGAGAGAAGCGACAAGGACGACGAACACCGCCGCCGCCGTTGTTGGTGTTGTTGTTGTTCTCTCTGGCTCAGCGCCTAGCCGGTGTGTATGTGTGTGTGAGACACACAAGGTCCTCTCCGTGTTCCTCGCCGGATACGGCTGGACGCAAATACTCCTCCTGCCTTGGCCACCGCCCCCCCTGTCAACGACTGTGTTCATCATCCACCTGGGGGGGATAAATCATCCACCTGGGGGGATGAATCACCAAGGCAGAGAGAGAGAGAACGTTGTTTGGTGCCACCTGGGATTCTCGAGGTGTGAACCCAGCGACCAGCTGAACCTGGCCCCCCTCTGTTTGAGGTGCTGTGAGCTCATAATGGGGCTCGCTTGTTATCCAACAAGCCGTGCACCTACCTTTAACCGTGCTGGGCATCTGTGTGTGTTGTGTGTGTGTGTGGATTGCAAGAGCTTCATAGCTCATCGGATTCCTCCAGTGTCGCTAAAGATTCTGATTCAGGGCCAAAGAGAAGGTCGATGTCTATAATAAACAACTGGCAGTTCAGCAATTTGTGGCACGCAAAGCCTGCATTGCTGATGAGACGTTGAATGTTGAAACTAGGCCCACAGTTTTGATTTAAAGCTTTCGTGACTGCAGTAATTCATAATCTTAGCTCTTTCGGTATTATTTTATTGTTTCCCTTCAACGTGACTTTACCGAAAGAGCTAAGAATATGGCCCACAGTTGTGTTGAAGCTACGCAGCTGAAAGTATGCATTCCCAGGCGGCCCACGTGGTTGATGGGATGTGTTATAAATTACTTTTATTTTTTTGTGAGGGGAGGCGAATTGTCCTTACAGTATTTATTTTTCCAGTGATAGACTTGTCAGGACAGGTTGAGATTCTATATGGTGGTCCAGATATCTTGTGACCCCCCCCAATTAATTGACCCCTGTCATTTTTTCCCTTTCGCATATTAATTTGTTTTAAATAAACCTTGCTTTAAAATAATATTTTTATTTAAAGCTTTCGTGACTGCAGGGATTCATATTCTGGGTTCTTTCGGTAGAGTCACGTATAAGGGAAACAATAAAATAATAAAAAATATATTGTTTTAATTTAATATATTAAGTTTTAGATAATTAAATGTGGAGTCACAAGACATGTGGACCGCCCTGTAGGTATAAAGCCACCTGTGATGGCACCAGGACCTCGGGTGTAGTGAGCCTACGGGATCAGTTTACCTGTGAATTAATGAATATCATCAGCCATGATCACTCCACTGCTGCCTCTACACAAGCCGCCGTGATCTTCCACAGGCCTGCGATGCATTAGCGTATGGGGGGGGGGGGGGGGGGGAGAAACCGCGGAAATGAATGCTCCGTTGAATTTCCCTAAATTTGGCCTTGTTCGAATAATGTTACGTTTTAGTTTTCCTCGAAGACGTTAAGCCGGATGAGATGGCTCTAAGACAGAACGAGCAGTCCTCGAAGGACGTATCGGCCGTATAATAACAGCTGGTGGTAGTCAAACTCCAAAAAAAAAAACCCCACCTTGGACGTGTGTGCACACTATACAACAGCTGTGAAGTGTGGCAGAAGGAAGGAAGCGATGGCCACGTGTGTTGGGCATCAACGGTATTGGCTTTGATGACCTCTTGGCATTGTCCAAAGACAAAGATCCCCCGTGTAGCCTCACCAGACTGTAGGGGCAAGTGCTGTTAGCGAGCAGCACACGAGTGGGGTAGGGGTGGCCAGGCACCACGCCCGGCCGTCTTTGTCTCCCCAGTGGCGATGCTGACACACCGAACCAGGCACTCATTTGAGGCTGAGCCGACCTAGGGGAGGCCCAGGACCTGTTCAGTATAATCGTGAACTATAGGAATCGAACTCGGCTCCACCATCTGGCATCGTCAATCATGCGCAGGAAGTCTTAGAAGCAAACCACGCGTGGGTGGGTTTCATCAGCAGTACGGCATACAGGAGGGGACTTAACACGGGTTGCGTAACATTGGCGCTCATCAGCAAAGCCACGGCAATTCAAAAGTGTGTCACGAGGAAATGATGCAGGGGGATTAATGTTGCAGAGATCGTAAACAACTTCCCCTGCGATGTGTTCTGCGACGGTGGTGCGCAATGCAGCAAAATGCACTGTGATGGACTTGTATTCTCTGAACGAAGCGCACTGTTGCACGGCGTTATGAACTATGGTTACACAACAACCACCACCACCCTCCCCAAATCGTGACCCATTAATAGGCGTGTGGGAAGGTCGTCATCCAGCAGAGGACTGACAAAAAATAGTGCACGAGTATTGTACGCTGTAATGAACGGCCGTGGACAAATGCACGTTTAATTTAAGCAAGTAGGTTTAATTGCATTTTAAAGTCAATCTTTGGACCTGCTTTGCAAAAGCGGACGCATTGTGTTTGCACGCGTGGAAGGGAGGGAGTGACATCACCGCGATCAGAGAAAGGTGACGTCGGCAGCGAGCAGGGAGAGATGACGTTTTTACTGCGAGCGGGGAGACATGACGTCACCGCGGACAGCGTTCCGATACAGAAGTCCGACTCGCGGGCTACGGAAGCCGACGGCCGCCAATCCATAACCGCGATTCGATATTTGCACGCGAGCAATCCGCTTTAAAAGCGTTCGTTCTCATTTTATTACGTAACGCATTACAATGTTTTTTTTCTTCTGCTATTTGGAGAATGCTTGAATTGAACCTCATGGCGGGACACCGGGGTCAAAATCGTAATTAATTAATTTATTTTTGGCGACTCCGTCCCACCGCGCACATAAACGCCGCGACCCACCTGGCACGGATCGTTATGTCGTCATGTCACGTCCAAGCGCAGCAGCAGCAGCGATGACGAAGGCGCACAAGAGCTGGACAGGCATTTGCACTCCATGCTCGGGTATGGGCAGGATCATAACAAGTCTTATCAAAAGCTGCTCAAACCGCCTACACTACTTAAGTCCTTAATTGTCATCACGGTATGCATAATAATACAGTGAAACTGCTCTCTCTTATCTTCAGTATTATTTGTGACCTACCAATGTCTGCAGGCAGGATCAATCGATGACAATCCTATTACCTGCAGATGTTTAACAGGCGAGATGCGTTGCACCGTTAATTCCTCCTGTTTGATAATACTTCTCTTGTCCGTATGCATCTGTGCAGATAGGTTTTGTTTTTGCGGTTAAGCCATAGTCCCCACATACTGACGACCCACTGCTCTGTAGAGTAATATTGGTATAAACACTTGTTACAATATGAACAACGCATTGAAAACGCGTAATAGTTTATGTACTGTTTACAAAGTGTTCACAAATACACACTTGACGTCATTTATGGACGGCCCCTAAGTAATTTCGTTGAGCTATCATTTGCAGCCAGCCCGCTTCTGAAAAAAAACACTATATAGCTCAGTGGGCCTTGCCTGGTAAAATAAAAAATAGTTTAGTCTATCACTGCAGGAGGGTCCCAGTGAGCTAGAATGTTCTAAATGCGAGATTCCTGCATTTAAAGCAGATGTTACACCTAGCAAACATAGTTTCAAACAGGGAGACTACAGGCGAAGTTACGTAAAGATCCAGGCGAATAAAAAAAAACTCCTGTACGCGAAAGATACAATTAAATGAGCAAATATTGCATTGCAAGAATCATGGCACATTGCACACACCAAAAATATTGTCTTTTAAACAGAACGATATATCCAAGCGCGAAAATTAAAAACGAAACATCCATGGTAAGATAGCGTCTTGATAAGTAGAATTGATGGAATCTTATTAAAGAACGATGAAATTACGAACCAAAAGCATTTACAACTAATGCAGGAATTTATATTCCAAGTGATCTAATGTGACTCGGCAGTGAATGTGCCGTTCTAGTGTACATTAAAGTAAAGTGGACTTTAAATGCATTTTCAGTTTAGCCCGAGGTTTGGAAGAATGCACTTCATAGAGCTGCAGAGTAGCTTCATTACAGGTGCAGTGTAGCTCTCATACAGGTCCTGACTAGCTCCAGTACAAATGCAGTGTAGGTCAAATATAGATGCAGTGTAGCTCCATTACAGGTGCAGTGTAGCTCCAGTACAGGTGCAGTGTAGCTCCAGTACAGGTGCAGTGTAGCTCCATTACAGGTGCAGTGTAGGTCAAATACAGATGCAGTGTAGCTCTATTACAGGTGCAGTGTAGCTCTCATACAGGTCCTGACTAGCTCCAGTACAGATGCAGTGTAGGTCAAACACAGATGCAGTGTAGCTCTACGTGGTGCAGTGTAGCTCTATTACAAGTGCAGTGTAGCTCTAGTACAGGTGCAGTGTAGCTCTACGTGGTGCAGTGTAGCTCCAGTACAGGTGCAGTGTAGCTCCATTACAGGTGCAGTGTAGCTCTATTACAGGTGCAGTGTAGGTCAAATATAGGTGCAGTGTAGCTGTAAGAGGTGCAGTGTAGCTCCATTACAGGTGCAGTGTAGCTCTATTACAGGTGCAGTGTAGCTCTATTACAGGTGCAGTGTAGCTCCATTACAGGTGCAGTGTAGCTCCATTACAGGTGCAGTGTAGCTCTATTACAGGTGCGGTGTAGCTCTATTACAGGTGCAGTGTAGCTCTATTACAGGTGCAGTGTAGCTCCATTACAGGTGCAGTGTAGCTCTATTACAGGTGCAGTGTAGGTCTAAGTTGTGCAGTGTAGCTCCAGTACAGGTGCAGTGTAGCTCTATTACAGGTGCAGTGTAGCTCTATTACAGGTGCAGTGTAGCTCCATTGCAGGTGCAGTGTAGCTGTAAGAGGTGCAGTGTAGCTCCATTACAGGTGCAGTGTAGCTCCATTACAGGTGCAGTGTAGCTCCATTACAGGTGCAGTGTAGCTCCATTACAGGTGCAGTGTAGCTGTAAGAGGTGCAGTGTAGCTCCATTACAGGTGCAGTGTAGCTCCATTACAGGTGCGGTGTAGGTCTAAGTGGTGCAGTGTAGCTCCAGTACAGGTGCAGTGTAGCTCTATTACAGGTGCAGTGTAGCTCCATTACAGATGCAGTGTAGCTCCATTACAGGTGCAGTGTAGGTCTAAGTGGTGCAGTGTAGCTCCAGTACAGGTGCAGTGTAGCTCCATTACAGGTGCAGTGTAGCTCCATTACAGGTGCAGTGTAGCTGTAAGAGGTGCAGTGTAGCTCTATTACAGGTGCAGTGTAGCTCCATTACAGGTGCAGTGTAGCTCCATTACAGGTGCAGTGTAGCTCCATTACAGGTGCAGTGTAGCTCTATTACAGGTGCAGTGTAGCTCTATTACAGGTGCAGTGTAGCCCCAGTGTATGTACAGTGTAGTAGCCCCAGTGTATGTACAGTGTAGTTGCCCCAGTGTATGTACAGTGTAGTAGCCCCAGTGTATGTACAGTGTAGTAGCCCTGGTGTATGTACAGTGTAGTAGCCCCAGTGTGTGTACAGTGTAGCAGCCCCGGTGTATGTACAGTGTAGTAGCCCCAGTGTATGTACAGTGTAGTAGTCCCGGTGTATGTACAGTGTAGTAGCCCCAGTGTATGTACAGTGTGGTAGCCCCGGTGTTTGTACAGTGTAGTAGCCCCAGTGTGTGTACAGTGTAGTAGCCCCCAGTGTATGTACAGTGTAGTAGCCCCTGTGTATGTGCAGTGTAGTAGTTTCCAGTGTATGTACAGTGTAGTAGCTCCGGTGTATGTGCAGTGTAGTAGCCCCTGTGCATGTACAGTGTGGTAGCCCCGGTGTATGTACAGTGTAGTAGCCCCGGTGTATGTACAGTGTGGTAGCCCCAGTGCATGTACAGTGTAGTAGCCTCCCGGCGTATGTACAGTGTAGTAGCCCCAGTGCATGTACAGTGTAGTAGCCCCGGTGTATGTACAGTGTAGTAGCCCCAGTGTATGTGCAGTGTAGTAGCCCCGGTGTTTGTACAGTGTGGTAGCCCCGGTGTGTGTACAGTGTAGTAGCCCCCAGTGT